GCCTTCAATATGGATTATATGTTAACACAAAGACAATTCAAAAATCCTCACCACTGGACCACTAGGCAGCATCTGGTAGATGGAAAAAAGATTAAGGTTATCAAAAATTTCATTTTACTTGGATCCACAGCTATGGTAGCAGCAGTTAAAATAATCAAAATATGTATAACATTGGGCAAATCTTCTGCCAAAGACCTCCTTAAAGTGAAAAAGAGTAAATTTAAAGACTAAAGTTGTACCTGACCCAAGTCATATTTCCAATTGTTTCATATGCATATGAAAACTGGATAGTGAAAAAGAAAGACCAAAGAATTGCTGCCTTTGAATTGTGGTGGTGGCAAAGAATACTGAATATGCCAGGCATAGTTAAGTCTGTCTTGACTGATTTAAGAATGCTCCTTAGAGGCAAGAAGGGTGAAAATCACTTTTATCTCAGATACTTACGTCATGTTACCATGAAAAACTAGTTCCTGGAAAAGAGTATCATACCTTCAAAAGTGGAAGGGCAGCCAAACAGAGGAAGATTCTCCATGAGATGTATGATGGCTGCAACAATAGCAGAGATTGTGAGGATGACAGACAACTGGGCAGGGTTTCATTAGGTTGTATTTGGAGTTGCTACAAAGTTGTTACATCAGAGTAACTTGATGGCACTCAACAATGATAGAATAAATGAGTGCTAGAACTCATGAAGTGAGAATTCCTCTAACACAGTAAGTTGTTCATAGTATATTAAGAAATCGGGAAGAGTGGAAAATAATTAATTAGATCTACACTGGGAATCCTTTATACCTTTCTAAACGTTTAGTTTGTTTTGGTTTTTTTTTGCAAATGTTAATAAATGTGGTTGAGGTCATAAGTATGTAGCTATCAAATTCATATTGTATCACAGCACTTAAAATGTGCTACTGACTGTAGGGGTCTGCAGAGCAGGATACTTTATTTGGTTCTTTATAGAAAACGTTTGTTGACTCCTGATGTAATTTAGTTGTCTCAAACAGTAAGCTCTTTTCTGGACAGTCTCACAGCAACCCATGTTCCTTCCATAATGTTATTGTCCCATCCATACAAAGTTGGCCTATACTTAATGCTCAAAATACAACTCCTTGTGTCACAATCCTCCATTTGGTTTCAGAGGCTTGAAATTGCAACAGAAAAAGAACTAGTTTTCTACACCTTTCTACAAAGGACTGCTAATAGATTCAAGCCACCTGAGATGCATAGCCTTTGGGTTATGCAACTCCCTATGGACGAGGCCACCAGAAGGCATTACTGTGCAAAGAAAAAACCAGGAAGTGATGGCCAAGCATATTCCTGATAGAATCTTTATGGGTTAACAATAACTTGCAAAATAGGAAAAAGCCCTTCTTTCACATATTTAATTATTTCAATCAATATTTTAAGTTATAAATTTGACACTGGGCTTTGTTTTGCACAAAGACAGTCCTCAAGCAATAGAACAGACCTCTTACTGGACTTCTAGGAAGGACTATATGTTTCTAATAAGAGTTACACAAATTTGAGGTAGCATACTAAGTTAAACACTGGCCTACTACCCAAAGGGCTGCTGTTGCTAGTTGCTCCCCAAAAGAAAGATGAGATAACTTTATGCTGAGTGAACTAATTCAGTCTCAAGGGGACAAATACTGTGTTAAGACCACTATTGCAAAAATAAAAGGATAGCTAGTAAAATATGTATGGAAACTCCAGGGGGAAGGGCTGAGGATTGGTAGTAGTGAAACCACAGGATTGCAAAGATTGGTGGGTGGAGGAAGAGGAAGGAAATGGGAAGGATCTGGGTGAAAGACTAGGAAATCATCGCCATGGTCCCATGGTGATTAATTTTATAAAACATATTGTGTGAAAATGATTGTATGAAATACAATGTGAATAAAAAATAATGTGAAACACAATGTGTACAAACTTTGTAAGCAAACCAATAAAAATATTGACTATTATGAACAATCTTCATCACAAAAAAATAATATAAACTTGTCTAGCCTCATGTCTCTGAGGTTGAGCACAGCTTCTTAACAGAATTCCCTTTCTATGAAATAGAGCATACATAAAAATAGAGCAAGATATATGTACAATTCAACCTATAAAAATAATACAAATTATTTTTAAAACAATGGGACAAATGTCAAGAAATGTAACTTTTCTAGAGACCCTGTGTTATTGGGTACCTTCAAGGTGACTGATTCATAGAGACCTCACTTAACATAGTAGATTTTAAGTATGGAGTTTGTCTTTCAATGTGGCTTTTCCTGGCCAACTAGAAGAGATCCATATTTTGATAGATCTGATTCTAAAATTGGTGACCCAACAAGTGTGGAAGATATTGAACAATATCATTACTAACACTTGCATGTAAAATCTTGCTGAAGATTATTTTAAAACAGCTGGAACTGCCATCAACAGGGAACTTCCAAATATTAAAATTGGATTCAGAAGAGGGACTGGTACAAGGGATATTCTTGCTGCTATCAGAGGGATCTTGGCTAAAAGGATACCAAATGGCACTTGGGGTGTGTGAATCATAAATTATGGATCACATTGAGAAAAATGGGAATCCCAGAGCACTTCATTGTGATTACATGGACCAAGAAACCATTTTCCTAACAGAACAAAGAAATGCTATATGACTTAAAATTGGGCAATGTGTGTTTGCATTCTTTCTCTATACCTATTCAATCTGTATGGTAAGTAAACATTTTAAAAATTGAACTATAAGAAGAAGAATGTGGCGTCAAAATTAGAAGGCTCATAATCAATTTGCAATGTGCAGATGAAACAACCTTCCTTGCAGAAAATGAAAACTTGAAGTATTTACTGAAGAAGATGAAAAGCTACAACCTTCAATACAAGTTCTATCTCAATATTAAAGAATAAAACCCTCTCGCCATTGGACCAATAGACAACATCATGATAGAAGTAGAAAAGACTTTGTCAACGATTTCATTGTGCTTGGATCAATAATCAACAACCACGGTTGCAGCAGTCAAGGAATCAAAAGACACACTCTATTGGGAAAATCTGCTCTCAAAGACCTCTCCAAAGTGCTAAGGTTTCAATCTGTTATTCATAGTTTCGCTTGAGTTGTAGTCTACTCAATAACATCTAATAATAACAACAGTTCACTGTATGCCCATCTGTTAACCAGGTTTTGGCTACAAAATTTTTCTATTTCATCTAGTTTGTCGTATACTCAGGAGTGGATTTTCCAAGTGTTTGTACCAATTCACACTCTTACCACTACTGTATGAGTTCCAGTTCTATATCCTGGTATTACAACATTTAATTTTAAGCATTTACGTAGGAGTGGGGTGTTGTCTCAATTTATAGTTCTTTATTGAGTAAAAAAGTTAAACATCTTTTTTATTATTGTTTGAAATTTATATAACCTCTTATTGAGTGTATTGTTCAAATTTCTTGCCCATTTTCTTCTATTGTGTTGTCTATCTTCTTTTTACTTTCAACCAGTATCATTTTCATTATGCCTAAAAATCTATTATTTTTTGTAATTAGGGTCTATGATGATAAATTCTACTATTTTGTTTGGAAAAAAAAATACGGCTTTTCTAGTATAATTGGAATGTGAATGACTGAGACATGTAGATGTGTGGGACTATACAAATGGGGCATGCTGACCTATCTACAAAGGGATTAGCTATCTGCTATTCCACAAGGGATGGACAGTCTCAACAATCTACAAGTGGATTGGCTAGTCTCTCCAATAACTTGAACAGCTATAGCCACAGACATTGGCTCTTGCTCCCACAGAAGAGGAAGGAATCCTCCCCAGCCAGAGAGGAGAGAGCTTCTCCACTCCAGTGAAAAGAAAGCAGGAAAATGTAGAACAAACTTTGGGATGACAGTAGCAGCCATGACTGAACTGGATAACTGATGTGAGATGGGACTTTGGGGTGAGGGTAAGCCAATATTGGCAGGACTGAGAACTTAGGAACACAATGAGGCTGGATGCTGACTTGCTCGTGTGCACATTTTGGCAGCTGCCTTGACTGTATTCCATTATTAATCTGAATTATAAGCTTTTGACTTCTCCGATGTGGTTCTGTGTGGTTTGTGAGCTATTATATCGGATTTTGGACCCACCAAAGCAGTAAGATTGGTGTTGAGATGAGTATAAAGAAGTATGGCAGTGTGGGGGACCTCGTGGGAATGGTTTTGTGTTACTGACGCTGTGGATGGGAATGGTTTCCAATGTGAAGGTGATGAAGGGCAGATATGACACTCCTCATGTGGCCCTTGCTCTTTTTTAAAGTGAGGACTGGCTGTTTTCTAGGCTGTAAATTGCAGTCAATTTGGTCTTTCTTGCTTAGAGTGGCTACATAGGTTTGCCAACCTGGCCATTAGCAGCCTAGTGTTTAACTGTTGTGATACCAGTGTCCTAGAAACTCCCAACCTCTTCCTTCTTCCCTTCCCCCATTCTCACTCTTACCAGCTTCTATCTATTCTTTTTTTTTTCTTTTCTTGAAGAGACCTAGGTTATCAGTCTTAAGATTTATGTGAATATTTTTTTAATATCTATGCTTAAACTTCTAAATTATATAGTTCAATTCAATCCCTTAAACCATGAGTTACCTTGATTTGTCAAGATTAGGTTTGAGCAAAAACTTCTCAGTATGTTATGCCCACTACATCAAAGACGAATGTTCAGAAATTACCAAATAAGGAAAAATATCCTTCTTTACATCTCACAAGGGACTCTGGTCTGAGCTCTGTTCTCAAAGTCCTTAGGGATTTGCACTGGTAACCAAAAGGCATCCCCTGTCTGGAGATTTGAATTCATAAATGTCTCCTTGGGAGAAAGACTCCTGTGTAACTTACAGCCTCAGAATTCCACCAGAGGCCAGTTATAGTCAGTTCTAGCTCAACAGCAATGACTTTGACTTTACGTCACACACACATGAAAGAGTTTTACAAACACTGGTCTTCATTTTTTAATCCTTAAGACAAAAAAAAAAAAATAAAAGCAATTCATGGCAACATGTTTATTTAAGCTCTAGCTAAGCTGTCATTTACAAGCAAACAAATTGAGGGGGAAAATACATAAGACAATATTTTCAAAATTAACTCATCTACACAAAAATTCAACTTGCAGAATTTACAAATTAATATTCTCAGCAGACAGATAAATTATACATCCTTTTCAAAATCCAATCTACAGCATTTAAAAAATTCATACAGGCATAATGTAAGGTATTCTTTCTTTACAACCTACCTATTTACATAGCTTTTCCCACATCAGGTGATAAAGTTCTCATCATAACTACCAAGGTTTGCAAACATACAGTATTTAAAATATATTTAGCAGCATATAAAAAATTAGAGATAAAAGAGAAGGAAATGCTACTCTTAAACAAAAATGAAACTAAAAGGTGATAGTAGAAACAACTCCATAGGAAAATAGATCAAAATATATTTTTGTGAGGACATAAAAAATATTTTCCAATCACAGAATGTATGCACAGTACTAACAAAACAAGTTAACAGCAACTTAGTCCTGAGCACAGAATATAGAGCACAAAACTTTGGTCAATACAAGTAAATGTCAACATTAATACAAACTGCTTAACATTCTTTGTTAGTAGATTAAGGTAAACTCCACTTTATGAGAAAATCATCGATAGTATGCTCATACGTTATTTTTCCATTATGAGCTCGCAAATTTGAAAACCTGTAGACTGAGTTAAGTGATAAGTGGACTACAATTTGACTAACATTCCCAATATATATAGATATATAGAAATAAACACATAAGTCATCTGAACAGACTGTATGAATGAGTTATAGTGTGTTGCAGTGTATTCCAGGTTTATTTTCTGACTGTCACAAAAGCAAGCATCTTATGATTTTGAATAATTTGAAGATTTGGGTTTTTTTAAAATATAACTAAGCACAAAAATTTAGCCAGGATAAAAGTATGAATCAAGCAGTATATCAACTATAGGATATATTTGCTTTAGTAGATATTAAAATTAAACATGTAGGATAGATATATTTTCTTAATATACCATGTTTATTACCAGTTGTATTCAGATATATTTTCCAGTTAATCCCATTCATTTGTTTTCACCTAATAAATGAGGGAAAACATTTTTCATAAGGAACAAACAGAACATTATCACAGTTTTCAGTTTATCACTACCATAATTCTTTAATTACTGGCAATGTCTTCTCCCAGTTCTCCAGTGTCAGAGATTTGGCCATCCTGCAAGTTACGAGCCTTCCAAATTCTCACAGTTCGATCACTATAAAACAGTAAGTTAAAAAAGAAACATATGATTAAACAAATAATGAAATAGCTCTTAGAATTACTTGTAAAGAAAAGGCTTTCTGAAGAAGTCTCTAATATATTAAACACATCTAAATATTTTTGTAAAATATGCATTGTCTTTTAATTATATAAAGACTGTAACCTAATGGATTGACATAGTGACTGTGGCAATGGAGTCAAGTGTATCAGAGATAGTGAGGTTGGCTCATGATAGGGTATGGTTCAGAGCCATTGTTCATGGCATCATGATGAGTCATCGTGAACTCAATGGCACATAACAACAACAATAACAGCCGTAACAACAATAGCTAATCATAGCTCCCATTAGCAAGGATTTATTATGTACCATCCCTGGTGGCATAGGCTGTAGGTAGCCATACTGTTCCCCTCTGGGGGTTTAAATCCACAAGTGGCTCTGCAGGAGAAAGATGGGAAGCTCCTCTCATGCAATTTACAGCCTCTGAAAATCCACTGGTGGCTTAGTACTGGGTCACCCCCAACTTAAAAGGCTGGAACCCTAAGATATTATATGCCAGACATTATCAATATATAGCATTTTCAAAAACATTTCATTCAGTTTTCATAAGAGAGAGGTCCTATTACAGGTCCTATTTTATAGTTGGACTAATTGAAGAGTAGAGAGGCTAAGCAAATTGCTTGAATTAATGGTAGAATGAGATGAAAGAAATTTGACTAAAGAATCCTATTTCTTAACCATTACACAAGATAAGCATTTATTAGCTCAGAAAATAACATATGCTACAACCAACATAAGACAGAGGTCTTCAAGTGCAAAGTTGAAGGACAATTACAGTAAGGTCTCTAGACAGGCCCAAGGTTGGAACAGGATTTTCAGGGATTTGGTGAGTGTGGAAACAGACAAAAAATAATTACCTTTGACTGAAATTAGCAAATTAGAAAACTGAAAAGGGAAGAGACTTCAAAAAGTGGACTAATAATCCCATCAAATGGAATTTAAAATATCAAAAGTGTTTCTAAGAAAACTTATACAATTTTAAATAAGACATCCATGTTATCCTTACTAAGAAAGACTTGGAAGAAAAGTCAGGCTCTCTGAGACAAGAGTATTGGGGGCAGAGAAAACTATATAGACCTAACAAAGAGAGCCCACTCCCAAAAGGGATTATAAACACAGGCAGAGAGGTTGGGATGTTGAGCACATATTTTGGGACGATGTAACTCGATTCATTAAAACCAGCAAAAAGGCTAGTAGAGCTGAGACAGAACAAGCTGAGAGAAGAGGAGGGTAAAGTAAGGGAAGCAATACATAAAGAAATCAAGTGTGTTCTCTACTCTCAGTGAAACAGAGGCCCATCATAGGACTTTGAGCACAGACTGAATATGATCTGAGTTGTGATTCAGAATGATTATAATCGCTTCAGTGTTAGTAACAGCTGTGGTGGTGCTGGGTGTGGTCACATTACTACAACTCATACAGACCCTATGAACAACGTATCTGAACCTTGCACTATCCTACACAACCATCCACAGGATCTCTGTCATACTCAAGTCTATCGTAATAGTCTATATACAGGTATATCACCCTATTGATGTCACTCTAAGAATTAACCCAGGGTATTTTCAATGGTTCCATACACACAAAACAATGAATAAAGAAGACCAAAGAATTGATGCTTTTGAATTATGGAGTGAGCAAAAGATTTTTAATGTATCATGGACTGCTAGAACAGTGTCACTATGTTGCCACTATAATACAGGGATTTTAATAACATTTACCTCTAGAATTATGAAAAATAAATGAGTTAAATGTTTGCAAAGGGCTAGAGCTCAGAACAATTTATAAACTACAGGAAGGTCAGAAAAAAGAGAGTTAATATCATAATATTGTAATATATTTCACTCATCAAGTCTCAGTGATACACAATACCTTTACAGGCTTATTTATATATTGAGTGTCCAACAGTTTTGAGTGGTATCAAGTGATTTCTCGCAGATTATTAGAGTCACAGTAAGTTTACGAGGAAAGAAACAAAAGCAGTAACTTGAAAATATTATAAATCTTAGAAATAACATAAGTGAGGCACTGAAGATACAAATGTATCTTCTTCTTGTTGTTGATTGCCTTCGAGTTGAGCACAACTCATAGCCACCCCATGAACAAAAGGCCTGAAGCACTTCTACTATTATTGACATTTATCAGAGTTGACAGAGTTTCTGGAGGCATGTTTTTTAGGAAGTGGATGCCACGCCTGCTTCCAAACATGTACTTGGAAACATACAAAACAAAGTGGCTTTGATACATTTAAATGTGAAAGACAGTAAATCTAAATAAAAAGGGGAATTCAATGGAATCAGAATAGATGCTATGAGATGTCACAGTACTAGCTTAGATTTTGAAATAAAATAAAGGCATTTATGCATTTCAGTTATAAATTACACTGAGCTCAAAGAAGTGCTTAAATTAAATTGTTTTATTGTTTTGTTATGTGCTATTAAGTGGGAACCAACTCCTAGCTGACATTCCAGCAGGTTTTCAGATTGTAAATGAGCATAGAAAGAGATTGCCCATCTTTCTCCCACAGAGCAGCTGGTAGATTTGAACCACAAGCCTTCAAGCTGGCAGTCTGATTTCTCACCATTAGGCCACCAACCAGAGCTACCAACAGATAAGATATAAGTGGGACACAAATGGCCTAAGAAAAATTTCAAGGTAGATATTCATGAAACATTGCCTTTTAATTTAATGACACCAACATATCATATTACATATAATGCATATGCGTTCCTTTCCAAAGTATTTATACACATAATATATAATTTTTCTGATCACAATAGCTCTCCATCTCCTTCAAGCTTGTTCTTCACTGTCACCTTCTCAGGGAGGCTTCTCTGACTATCTAATTTTGTAACCTCATTCAAACTTGCAGCTTTATTTTCCTCCATCTCACTTATTACCATGTAACATTTTATTTACTCATGTTCTCTTTATTCCCACTATAACATGATCTGGCACTTAGATCTCATTTTTTCACTGTTCTGTTCCCAATAGTGTGGAATAATGCCTGAAATATCAGCCATTCACTGTGAATGAATGAATACATGAACAAATGAATCTGTCAGTTGACTACAAGAGGGAGAAAGCAGATGGTCTCGCTTTTGCGGTTTTTTTTTTTTTAAGAGGGGAATAAAGAGATCTTTTGAATGATTTATTCTAAACTGTTCTCTAAGAATATAATGCAAAATATGGGGGTGGAGGAAGTGTTAAAAATTCATCCATGGATGATGTTTTTAAAACATAAAAATCATCAGTGGAAGACCTAGCATCAGGCTTTCCTATTACAATTGAAAAATTAATATAAAAGTAAGACTATTTTTATACAACTCTGGGAGCCAAATTCAGTATCAACATTGTACATCAGGAAAGATAAAGTGGTATCTTATGACAGATGGCAAAATGACAGTAATAAAAGAAAGATGAAATATGCCCTGCATTTCTAGATATTTATAATATTTGTTAAATTGGAATATGAGTATTCAGGATGGAGAAAAATCATACTAGAAGAACTTACTCAGCTGCAGTGAAAATGTGGGTGGAATTAACACAGATGGCATTGATAGGACTGTCATGACCCTTCATCTCTCCAACTGGTGCAAAAGTATCTATGTTCCAGAGTTTCAAAAGGCCCCCTCTGCAGCCGCTGAGCAAAACTGGGTGGCCTGGCACCACTCCCAGGGCACAGATCCAATCCTTATGTGCATTTGGAACTTGCTGAGAAAGAAAAGAGAAATCAGTAGTTTAAAAAGAGTTTTCTAAACCAATAATTTTCACACCACAAAGTTATAAACATTTTTACTCATGAAACTCGATTAGTCCTAACATTGAATGACCTAGAAACTGTAAAAGTTTATTTTCTGAATAATGACTCAAAATTTGAAAAAAATAGATAATTTGTGCCCTAGTTTTTACCATTATGTGTAATAAGGCCTATAATATTAATAATTTGTAGAAACTAAAATAATTGGAAAGTATACAAAATTCTTCAACTACCACATCCTTTATTGGCAGTAATAAAACAAGTTTGATAATTACAATCTGGAATGTATACCACAAAACAAAAAAGCCAAACTCACAGCTGTTGAGCTAATTGCAACTCTTAGTAAAAATTAAACTGAAACCTCAGTTGGGTTTCCAAGGCTGTAAATCTTAATAGGAACAAAATGTCCACTGTTCTCTTATGGAGCCTCTGGTGAAACTGAATTGCCAACCTCTTGCTTAGCAGTCAAACATGTAAAACAAGACATGGCCAGGCTCCTTTATGTACATATAAACCAAACCCACTGCCACTGAATTGGTTCCAACTCAATGGTCGTCCTGGGTTTGTAAGGCTACAAACTATAGGAATTGTTAAATATAATCATAGCCTTAAACCTCTACTAAAAATGAGAACACTTGATTGTGCTTATGTGAAACCTATACTTATAAAATGAAGCAGTCCTCAGAACAGAGCATGCAAATACATCATGGTTCAAAATCAGGAAGGGAGTACACATCAAGGATGCATCCTATATCAATACCTTTTTGATCTATATGCTGAACAGATCATTTATGAGACTGGGCTTTATGAGGAGGAATGTGTCATCAGGATTGGAGGAAGACTTATCAACCTCCATTATGTAGGTGATACAACCTTGCTTGCCGAAACTGAGGAGGACCTGAAGCACTTGCTGCAGAAGGTTAAGGACTGCAGCCTTCAATATGAAATAAAGCTTAACATAAAAGAGACAAAGATTCTCACCACTGGGCCAATTGTCAGCACCATGATGAATGGAGAAGGGATCGAGAATATTAACAGAGCTTGCTCGATCGAGAATATTAACAGAGCTTGCTCGGCTCCACAATAAACACTCTCGGCACCAGCAGTTAGGAAATCAAAAGACCAATTGCATTAGGTAAATCTGCTGTAAAGGACCTTTCCAGAGTACCGAGAAGCAATGATGACAGTCAAGAGATTAAGATGTGCCTGATTCAATCCATGGCATTGACAAATTAATTGTTATGCATCAGAGAGATGGATAATGAGATAATGACTAAGAAGAACTGATGCCTTTGAGTTGTGGTGCTGGAGAGCCAAGAAAACTAACAGATCTGCTTTGGAGAGAGTGAAGCCAGGTTCCTCCTTGGAGGCTAGGACTTTAAAACTCTGTTTACATACTTTGGGCATATTGCAAGGAGGGACCAGTCTCTTTGGTGGGACATCATGCTTGGGAAGGCAGAGGGACAGCGTAAGAGGGGAAGGCCCTCAATGGAATGGATTGATTCAGTGACTAGGGTAATGGGGCTTAGGTACGTCAGAGACAATAAGGTTGGCACAGGATAGAGCAGGGTTCAGAGATGTTATATCTAGGATCTCTATGAGTTGTAAGTATCTTGGTGGCACATAACAACAACGCTGCTATTCATGTTACATGTTCCTTGTTTTCATCTCTGCTTTCCAAGCAGAAATATAGTAGCAACTGCCATACGTACGCACTTGAATTTGAGTGTCTTAAGAAAAACTTGAGATGGAGAATAAAATCAGAAATTGTAACTTCTCTACTTCAAGGCTGACTTTATTTAGTAACACAATCCTAACTGTGTCTCACTTTGCCAGTATGTATTATCTAACAGATGCTAAATTTTGAATTTATTTTCATGTCATGGAAAAGAACTGTGGCACTGCCACCTTCCTCCTAGTTAGTAACTCTAGGAGGGAGTGATGAAGCTCTGGTGAATATAAACTCTAAGCCACAACTCAGACAGAGCCTCTTCAAGTTCTTTTCTGGACTATTCAGCAATAGTATGAATTGCATTGTGTGGTCCAGAAATATTTAAGCCCTAAACCCTGGCGCCTGTGAATGTGACCTTGTTTGGAAATAGGGTCTTTACTGATGTTAACTAATAAAGTTAGCATGAAGTCCTAATCCAATCTAAGTGATACCATTACAAAGGAAGAGAAGAGATAGTCACACAGAGCACTGACGTGAAGATGCATCTTCAGGCCAAGGAAACTCCTGAGATGACCAGAAGCTCAAAGAGATAAGAAAGGGACTTCTCCAGGTGCTTGTTCTCTTCTAGTCAACTGACCGGAAAAGACCCACATTTTTTTTCTCATTTCCCCAAAGATGATGATCCAACAGATGGAGATTATCAAACAGTATCATTAACATCACATGCAAGTAAAATCATGCTAAAGAGTATCTAAGAACTGCTAGAGCAGTTCATGGAGAGGGAACTGCCCGAAATTCAAGGTAGATTCAGAAGAGGCCATGCATAAGGGATATCACGGCTGATGTCCTTGGCTGAGGCAGAGATGTATCTTGGTTGAAAGCAGAGAGTATCTCAACTAGAGAGAAGAGCATATTTCAGTCAACACACTGACTGAGACTTACTTCTAATTTTTAGAGCTATAAGACAAAAAATTACCATTCTTATAAGCCACCGGTGCCTTGTACTTCAATATGGCAGTTGTAGGGAATTAATACAAGTTATTGAAGCTCCCCTCCATGTCATGAAAACTTTGTATTACCTGAAGAAGATCTTTTTGAGCTAAATCCCATTTCTTGATTCCATTATCTCTGGATCCACTAAAGAGATTATCCCCTTGGATAGTCAGTGCTTCAATGCCATCATAATGAGGAGGTTCAAAATTGTGGGTAGGACTCACGGTTCCAAGAGCCCCTTCAGTTACATCAAACATCTGAAAAGGCAGGGGGGAAATTTACTTAATATACAATACTTAATTTACAATAGTCACTTAGGTGTGTGCCTTTTTTAAAAGACGTATTAAAAAATCAAAGTCATTACTGCTGAGTTGGAAATGACTCATAGCTGACCCTACACTGGGTTTTCAGAGGCAGGAAATCACAAAGGAAGAGACTGCCCATCCTTCTCTCAAACCACTTGAGAGGTTCCACCTTCAGATTAACAACCCAACTCCCTAAGTACTACACCAAAGGAGCAGGTCAGAACCTGCACTGAAATCACAAAGGCAGGTGTCTTGAATCTACCAACTGCTCTGCGGGAGAGGGATAGGCAATCTCCTCCCATATGATTTACTGCCTCTGAAAATCCGCTGGAGAGTCAACTAGGGTTGGTTCCAACTATAACTACACAACCAGAATAACAACAACAACATGAATATATAAATAATATGTGCAGTAACAAAAATATATACCTGTCTAGTTGAAATTCAAATAAATTACAAAGCTGCTACTTAATCACACTAGAGTGTACACTGATCCCTTAAAGTGATGTTCACAACCCTTTCCACCTTCATGACTACCTTTATCTTTTTTAAGCTATGACCGTGCATTGTTTCAAAAAGTCCAGTATAACCCAAAATCAATGTTTTGGATCCTCTTCATTCTATAGTGTTCTTGCCATCTTCAAACATCCTTACACCGCAGCCCCCTTCCTTCTCAGAGGGTGAAAAGCACTTACTTCAAGGCTCCCATCTATGAGCTAACTCCTCCTACCACTTTCCATCACTTCACTCTTCTCACCCTTTTCTCTTTCAATTAAACGCATTTCCCAAGTAAATAAACATGATCAGTCCTCCTGAATTAAGCAATTTCTTCTTTTAACCAGTTATTTTGAAGATACTAACTTATCTCTGCTACAGGGAGCAGTGCTAGAAAGTTTGTAGAGAACTGCACTGTTGATCCAAAGGTCTCATCTCTTTGGAAGTTTAAGTCCACCAGCAGCTCTGACAGGAAGATGGACAATCTCCTCCAGTGCAATTTACAACCTCGGAAACCCAACAGAAGGTCAGCTATAAGTCAGTTCCAACTGGACAGCAAGGAGATTGTTTTGAGTGAAACCTATTTTCTCATTTCTTCCAAGTTCCTGAGACTAGGATTCACTTATACTCTTCAGTTTCTCATGTTATGACTTTTGACCCTGTCTTTTCAAAGAAAGTTCAATCCTAGCCAAAATTCCCAAACCTACTGCCTTTGAGTCAGCTCCAATTCATAGCAGCCTGATAGGGCGGAGCAGAACTGCCCCACAGACTTCCAAAGCTGTAAACCTTGTGGAAACAGATTGTTTCCTCTTTCTTTCTTGGAGCAGCTGGTGAGTTTGAACCACCAACCTTTCACCTAACAGTCCAGTGCTTAATCAATAAGGGCTCCTTTTAGTCCTATCAGCTACTGCTTGTTTGTCTGTACCATCGTGTTGGGATGAACTAATAGCTGACCCCCCAGCAGGTTTTCAGAGGTTGTAAATTGCATGGAAGGAGACTGTTCATCTTTCTCCCATGGATTCAAAATATATGCCTTTGGGTTGGCAGCACAACTCCTTACCACTAGGCCACCAGAACTACGCACGTTCAATACTCCCAGTACTCATTCTATTCTAACTATCTACAGCATTTGTCACAACTGCTAACTCCCTTCTTCCAGATATGATCCCTTGGATTTTCCTAATTTTCTTTCTTACTGTAAACTTTTCTTATTCCTACTGGTCCTTACAGTATTTCTCTAAGACTGATTCAACTGCTTCTCCCTCCTTTGAGAGTAGCTTCTACTCCTTGAACATCTGCTTCTATTTCTACTTCTCTCAAACCTACATCTCTAGTCATAACTTATTGTGAATTCTAGATCTTCATTTCTAATGCCACGCTGATCTATAGGTGAATGTCCTGATAGTACCACAAATTTAACACTTCCAGAATCATGTGATATAATTTTGTTTATCTTCTCTGCTAATTTTATAAAATTATTAAACCATAACTCTCTCCACAATAGATGATAAATGTGACATTCAACCAGCCATTAATTAGAAAATTGAGCTAAAGAGTATGAAAATTTTTTCTGCCCTATCTCCTGTGCAATGTGATAATGCTTGGCTGAATAATAAAGCAATAATTATAAGGAAATTTGAATGAGAAAAAGGTAAGTAAGGAAAACTGAAGGTAAGGAAAGAGGAAAAGCAGATGTTGAAGAAAGTAGTTCTGGATATACACTCTTTACAAGATAGAGCAGGATATAATATGATCATTTTGTTATACACACTTTGATGTAATGATCTTTGGAGCCAGTGATGATTAGATCTTGTCCATTGGAAATCTGATCTACAGTAAGGCACATGACAGGGCCTAGATGTCCCGTTAACTTGCCTGTCGACTGAAACCTTTTAAAAGAAAGAAAAAGAATTTTATTTGAAAATATTCCTTAGTGTGCTCACAGTCTCAAAAACAAATAATCTATATACTTTTAATTGGATATAAGTCACACATGTTGTTGAGTGACACACCAGTAAAGACATCATGTTTGGAAGAACAGAGGATCAGTGCAGGAGAGAAAGACCCTGGATAAGATGGATTGACACAGTGACTTGGGCTATGGGGGTAGGTATGTTGAGGAGAGGAGTTTGGCTTAGGCTAGTTCAAGGTTCAGAGTTATTGTTCATAGTGTCACTATGAGTCATGTTTCAATCAATGGCACACAACAACATATTGTCAAAAATTCAAGAATTAGAAAAGAAGCTAAAATAAGCATTCAACTAAAGGATAAAAGCTCATTCTCCTTGGCAAATCAAAATAAAATGAAACTGATGATGCCTTCATTTGTTTATTAAATCTTTTTGGTTTTTAACCACATTATCCTCTTAGTATTTCATCTTTTACATACAATTTTATGGTCCCAAAATATCTAGGAGGACTTACACTAAAATTTAGTAAATAAAGCTTCTACATGCACAAGAATTAAATGAGCAAAATACTAAATGATGCTGAAAGCATCAAAAGAAGATGCAAGGGCACTGTCGATGTACCAAAAAAGAATTCTTTGACGCGAAATCATTTCAGGGAGAAACAAATGAATAAGAGGAACTAATGGTATGGAACAAAAAAGTCCAGGCTGCGCTGAAGGCATTGGCAAAAAAATAAAGAATATCAATTGAGGTATTTCAGCAAACAGATACAACCCTTGACATACACTGAAGCTTATCCATTTAAAAATTTGAAATATAGGTGTTTAAATGACATTTCACGAAGTAAAATTTTCATCTGGTCTCATTTTATTATTAACACAATGCATAAACAAATTTTAAGCAAAGCTACAGCCTTAATTCTAATTTTTCCCCCCTCCATACACTATACTTTTAACCAATGGAGATTAAAAGGAAGAAAACTGAGTTGAAGACAAAAGGAGCATTTAGGAGTGTTGAGTGTAATTTTATATTAACTACTAGGAATAATGGAAATGAGTTTTCACATGTATCAACATTATTAATGTCTGAAATTGCTATTTTTCATACAAAAGGATCACATTTTCTTAAAATTCCTACCTTTTAAGATCCCACATTCTGACAGCATTTCCAGAAGCTGCATAGAGGAACGTCCCAGTTGGGTTTAATGCAATTTGGTTGATCTGATTCTCTCCAGAAGGAATAGCTACTGTCCGGTTGGTACTTGCAGAACAAGCATCTCCAAGCGTAACTTGTCCTGAAGACCTAACAAGGCAGAACAAAGCCAACCTGAGCTGAATTTCTCTGAAGTAGGCTGAGGCAGTAAAGGAACTATGTACCTTTGCTAGTACATATACAGGCACTAGCACAACATTTCATATGAAGTTGGCATACACAAATGTGTGTTGGGTAAATGAATGAAACATAACAAAACGATTTAAAACTTTTCATTTGTAAAATTATTACAAGGTAAGGATCCAAGTCTATACCAGACCTTGAGTTAGGGAGACTAAAACATTACTCTGAAAGGAAATTCACTTTTCAACAGCATCCAGAAGTTTCCTGTGGACCAGGCCTACCAAAATTGTTTTTACATGTACAAATTACCCTTTTGGATTAAAGGCCTTTTAGATCATTCAGACTACTTTCAGATATTGTCTTCTTTAACACAATCATAGGTAGAATATCTACTATGTGCTAAAGAGTCAAATGCAGCCTATTTACATTTCTTCTGATGTATTATAGAATGTAAATAGTTATTTGAATTTCCAAAACATTTTCTCAGTTAATTTCTAAAGTATCAAATTGCAATAATCTCTTCAAATTTAACTTTAATAATTCAAGTTAACTAATTTTCTATTTTAAGATATAGTGTTCTTTTTTCCCCCTATAAACTGTCTCTCAGGCAATCTGGCTAATAATTAATAGTCCTCAAGCCATACATTGTCATTTAAAAGTTAATAGTTTTTACAAACTGAGATTACAGTCTAGGGAGCTCTAATAGCCTGGTCCATAAGGAGCTGCACAGCTAACCCAAAGACCATGCCTCACTAGCAGTTCAAATTCACTAGCAGCTTCATGGGAGAAAGACGAGAAATCTCCTCCCATGCAATTTACAGCCTCAAAAACCCAATGGAGAAGGATATCCTATGACTTGTTTCTGATTCCACAGCAATGAATATACAGTCGGCTCTCATGTAAACCAATACAGGTGTCATCATAGTTTTGATTACATAAAACATTTCCTCAAACTCATGACAAAAAAGAAATATTTGCACTATATTTTTAAAGACCTATAGATTAAACAGATTGGCAGTATTAGGATAGATGATAAAGAGATTGAGATTGTTAACAGCTTTAGTTTACTTCACTCCACAATCAACACTCTTAGTATCAACAGCCAGGAAATTTAAAAAAAAAAAAAACAAAACAAAAAACAAGTATTATTTGGAAAATCCACTATCAAGGACTTCTCCAGAGTACTGAAGAGCAACGATGTCAGTCTGGAGACTAAAATGTGCCTGATCCAGGCCATAATCTTTGCAATTGCTAGCTATTCGTCAGAGAGCTGGGCAATAACTAAGGATGCTAGAGGAAGGAACAATGCCTCTGAGTTTTAATGCTGGAGAAGAGTGTTGAATATACCATGGACTCCCAGGAGAATAAACAGGTTCAACCTAGAGAGGGTGAAACCAAGTTGCTCCTTGGAGGCAAGGCTTCTGAGGCTTCGTCTGACATACATTGGGCATGTAACAAAGGAGAGGAACATCATTCTTGGAACAGTGAAGAGACAGAGAGGAGACCACCAATGACATGGATTGATTCAATGACTGCGGTAATGAGGGCAAGTGTGTCAGAGACAGTAAAGTTGGCACAGGATAGAGCAGGTTTCATGGCTATTGTACACAGGGTCACTATGAGTCACAAGTGAGCTGACAGCACATAACAACAAAACAACATATAATAATAGAGATAAAGAACATGAACTCATTCTCCACTTAGCTCCATCACCTGTAGACATGACATTTGAGCCAAAAATAAGCAAAGTCTCAGTCAGAAGGAAAAGTAAGAAGAGAAAAACCTCTTACCTATTCAATACTTATGAATTAAAAATATAAAATTCTTCTTAACTAGTTATACATATACTGAAGTATTGGCTATACACCATGTCAACAGAATGGTACCTATTTGAAGTCAGTAACAAATTATTTAACTGTGTCTGGTAATAAATTACATTAAAATATGATACTTTGTATTAAAACACTTGTATTTGGTAGGGAAAAATATGAAGTTTGTACAGTTCACAGATGGCAATCTATTTCCTTCTTTTAAGACCTGGCTCTTGTCTTTTATTCTCTCAATAGTTTTGTCACCTAACTTCCCTCTTTTTAGTTTACCTGTATTTTCATTGTAAATAATTTAATATTAATTTGGAAATAGACTAGTACGAACAAATAAGAATTCATTCACTGTCCTAGCTTCCCTTATATTTAGTATTTTTTTATACTTCAAGTTGAAATTTATTTTTTTAAATGTCAAGACCCCAATACCACAATTTTATATTTAGTATTTTTAAAAGAACTCTTCACCTTACTTTGTCTTGAAGTTACTTACGTCAGCGTTCGAATACATTTTGCTGAATCTCTGATATCCCACACCTTAATATAAGATGTTGATACAGTGAAGACCAAACTTGTATAATTACAGTATTTTACAGACACGACATTGTTGGGGTGGCCTCCCAATGACATTATTTCCTGCCCAGTTACCAGATTCCAAACTTTACAAGTACGATCTAAAACAAATAAGAAGGGAAATAAAATTAATACAAAATACATTAGCTTCTTCTAATAATAAAATATTATGTAAATTATTTTCTGCTGTGCTGCAATCCCAAAGGCACACAGTTCAAATCCACCTTCTATAGGAGAAGGAAGGGCAATCTCCTCCTGTGCTATTAACTACCTCTGAAAACCTTCCAGAGGGTCAACTTTGGGTTAGTTACAACTCAACAGTACACAACAGTAGGAAATGCAGTAAACTGAACTGACTGTTTATTCAGTTAACCTGCAACAGGCAAGCTAATTCCATTTCTTATCCTCTGCAACAGGTTCAAGGTATATGTAGGTAAAGAATTGGATGAGAGTTAAAGATGTCTGTTGTATGCATTATGTAGTGTTGCAAATAATCGTATGAAAATGGAAACATCATACCATAAGAGTCCTGCTCTAAAATGCTTCGATATTAAAATGATTGTCTCAAATCAGCATCTTTGCCAAGTGTGTTTTGATCACATTACCACCTCTTCATAACACTCTCATAAGTTATCCTGAAGATACATTTCATTTGACAAAAAAAATCCATTTTATTCAAGATCTTCCTCTCCTGCAATGACTTTCTGCCTACCCATCCAAGCATGATGTCCTTCTCCACAGATTAGTTCCTCCTGGCAAAATGCCTAAAGTATGTGAGACAGAGCTTCAAAATCTTTGCCTCCAAAGAGCAAACTGGTTTTGCCCTCTCTAAAGAAATTTATTTGTTCTCTTGGCATTCCATGGTATGCTCAGTGCTCTTCTCTAGCACCACATGTCAAAGGCGTTGATCCATCTTCTCTTGGCCTTATTCACTGTCTAGATCTCAGATGCACAGAAAGAAATGGAAAAGACCATGACCTGGATCAGGCATATCTTAGTCTTTAAAGTGACATCATTGCTCTTTAGTACTCTGGAGAAGTCCCTGACAGCAGACTTTCCCAAAGCAGTTAATTTTTTTATTTGCTGACTGTTGGTGTCAGGCGTATTGAATGTAACTTCATGTAAGATGAAATCATTAACAACCTCAATCCTTTCTCCATCTATCATGATACTGCTTATTGGCCCAGTGGTGAGGATCTTTGTTTTCTTGATATTGAGCCACAATCCATATTGAAGGCTGCAATCTTTTGACTTTCCATAGCAAACTCTCGAAGTCCTCCTCAAGTTCTGAGAAGCCTGGTTGTGTTTCTCATAGCTGGACATAATCTACTCCTTTCTGAAACCCCAGCAGTTTTGCTTTGCAGACCTTCAGAGTATTTATAGTTGATTTCTAGTTGCTTTTAATTGTACTACAATGGCTGATGGGTTTAGATTCGAGTAGTCTTAGCTTTGCAACCCTGATGCTTTATTTACAAGCTAAGTTGCCCTGGGTAAATGATTTCTTTTTAAAATCCTTAGTTTTCTTCATATGTAAAATGAATGTTTAATATGTGTGTCCTTGGAGTTTAGAGAATTCAGCAAGAGGTTTAGAATGCTCAATATAGTCATGGCACATTGTGAATGTTCAAGTAATGATGATTTGTATACCTACCTTTTAATTCTCTTTACCACAGTATATTTTTGAAGGGTATTATAGAAATTTTTACATAACCTGAAATATTAAGTTCATAGACTTCTATATAGTAGTATACAAGGGAGCATAAGTACTGAAGAGAGATGTAGTATCTCAATATTCTATTTACAAAACATGTACAGAGTTTTCACTTTCTGCCTATCTAAGCAATAATTGTATAAAAACAACAAGACTTGAACCAGATTACTGTTCATATTCTTATCAAGTCTTAAGAAGGTTATGTATTTTTAGGGAGGGGGAAAAGTTTACTAAAATGTAATCATTAAAAAATATCTGGTAAATACTCATATCCTACAACTACTACCACCTTTAGATCCAGTGAAGAGGAGATCATCAGTCGAATCTACACAGAGCACAGCTTTCGTGTGCCCTTCAGCTATGTGGATGCACTGCAGTGGACAGGCTCTGATCCCTTTTGAAGAAGGAAATGGGTTGATTATGCCCCTGCGGTGGAAGGAAACACAGGATTCACTTCAGTTACAAATTAGTAACATGAGAAAAATTTTATATTTCTTCCTGACTTAAGAAGTCTTAATAGATAATTAGTAATACAATCCAAACTGCTCCATGTCTCTTTTTTTATTATTATTAAATTTTATTAGTTTTAATGAACCTTTACAGAGATTTTGGGTTTTCATTCATTCATTGTCCATGTCTCTTCTTTTAAGCAAAAGGACAGGGAGAAGACATGATATGATACCAGCAGTGATGGAGCGTGTCAACTAGTTAGGTAACTGCCTGAAGCTGCGTTTTGCAAAGGGCAAAGCACGTGATACATTCTGAGATTTACTGCTTTCTTTTGTACCTCTCTAAAACTTGATGAAGCAATACTGTGGAGTATTTAGATAATGGTATCTGATAAGGAAGAAGTAGGAATCATGAATGGTCAAAAAGAGTGAAAGAAAATTACATGCTGGATAATGTATAATATGTTCTACTTAAATTTCAAACAAAATCTGGAGGTAAAAAAAGTGACTATACAGACAGAGAAGCAAAAGAGATACTGGGTCAAAAAAGACCAAAACCTCAAAAAATAAAATTCTAACAATGTCACAGGATAAAATAGCGAAGATTAAAACAAACAACAGTGAGACTCTTAGGGATCTTTCTTCGAAATGTCATATTTCTGGAGTTTTTCTTTACACCCTTGTGGCATAGTGTGTAACACATTCAAACGCCAACTGAAGAATGGACAGTTTTAATCCACTGGCTGTTCTACAGGAGAAGGGAACTTCTACAGGAAAAGGGAATAGCCTCTTCCTGTGCAGATTCATAGCCCTGGCAACCTGATGGAGAGTTAGTACGAGTCAGTATTGACCCTGTAGCCGTGGATTTGTTCTGATTAATTATGAAGATTTTTAGTAGTGTTGTGGTTAAGGCATTCAGCTGATTCCTTCAGTGGTTTGAAGCTATCAGCCACTCCACAATAGAAAGTTGAGGCATTCTGTTTCCATATAGATTTACAGCTTTGGAAACAGTTCTACACTATTGTACAGAATGCTTATGAGCCAAAACTGACAAATGGCAGTGGGTTAGGTATGGTTTAGATTAATTATATCATATACAAAATTGTTGCTTCTGTTGTTAGGTGCCAGAGTCATCTAAGACTCACAGACACTATGAATCACAGATGTGAACCTTGGTCTGTTAATGCTATTCTCATCAACTCTGATAAACGCAACCCCTTTGGTACAGCCACTGTGTCAATGACTCATGTTGAGGGTCTTCCTCACTCTAGCTGACCCTCTGCTTTGCCAAGTTTGAGGTATTTTTGCAAGAACTGGCCCTCCTAACAACATGCCCAAAATATGTGAAATGATTTCACCATTCTTGCCTTGAAAAAGCAAACAGACATATCTTACACTTTTGCCAAGGCATATCTGTTTGTTCTTTCGGCAGTTCATGGGATAATCAATACTCTTCTCCAACACCACAACTCAAAAGCATCAATTCTTCTATCATCCTTATTAATTGTTTAACTTTCAGAGGGATAAGTAATTGAAAAGACCATGGCTTGAATCAGGTACACCTTAGGCTTTAAACAAATTCTGTTGCTCCTTAGTACCTTAGAAAGGTCCTTCACAGCAGATTATCCCAGTGGCACTCATTCTTTGATTTCTTGACTGCTAGTACCAAGAGTATTGATTGTGGATCCAGGTAAAATGAAACCACTGACAATTTTCATCTTTTCTCCGTATATCTTGATGTTGCTTATCAACCAGTGGTAAAGATTATCTTCTATTTATTTTTGTCTTTCTGAAGTTATCCATATTGAAAACTGTAATCTTTGATCTTCTATAGCAAGAGTTTTACTTTTAGAGAGTAAGGTTATGT